AGAGAGAGATAGAGAGGAGTGGAAAGAGAATAGGTGAGTGTGTAGTAGTGAGTAAGGAGTGGTGGAGAGTAGGTGAAGTAGGTGAGTGTGTGTAGGTGGTAGTGGTAGTTGGTAGTGTGAGTAGGTGAAATTTTAGGCAGGCCCACCGCAAACTCAAAGGGGGATAGGAACTAACCAATTTGCAGTTTGGAGAGAAGTAACAAAACAAGAAAATACATAAAAATAAAAGAGTGATAGGAGACACTGTATGGTGCGTGTCAGACCATTGTGAAGACACTTGGATGGTGGTGTCATAACGTTGTAGAGACACTGTATGGTGGTGTCAATAACGTTGTAGAGGACACTGTAATGGGGGTGTCATACGTTGTAGAGGACACTGTATGGTGGTGTCATACGGTGTAGAGGAAACTGGATGGGCGGTGTCAGACCGATGTAGAAGACAGTTTATGGGGGTCATGTCCGGACCGTTGTAGCAGACAATGTTGTGACAGTTGTTGTGACAAGTTTAGCAGAGTCTTGCTAGACCTTGGTAGAAACTATAACCGGAAAATCAATGTCGGGACATGTTTACAGAGTCTGTCGGACGCCATGAGGAGCTAACGCGGAATCACAATGTCGGGACAGTTTACAGAGTTCTTGTCGGAGCCCATGAAGGAGCTAAAGGCAGAATCAATGTCGGGACAAGTTTTAACAGAGTCTGTCAGACCCTAAAAAGTGCGCACCCTCAAAAGGTGTGCCCAATCTGTCAAAAAAAGGCGTGCATCATAAATGTGTGCCTCAATTCCATGAAAAAGGCCGTGCCATTCAAAAGACGGGCCATAAAAGGCGGCGCCCATGTTGTCGTCGAGCGCCGAGCGGCGCATGATCGCGTGTCTGCTCTTCGTCAGGAGTCTTATAAACTGAGGACGAAGGCTGTGCTGAGAGCAGGAAGCGAAGACAAAAAAACTTTGTGAAAAACTTCTGAAAAAACTCTTCATTTTCTGAGAGAATATTCGTTTCTCTGAAGAGATTGTCTCTAAGAGCTGCAAATCTTGAAACACTCTGTAAACACTCTGTACCAAACCCTTCTCTGAAACATTCAGCAACCCATAACATGGCATCGTCTTCCCTTCAGCTACCCAGGAATATGGCCCTCTGCGTCCCGTGTCTCTCACTCTCTTTCCCGACCCATCAACGAGTCACAAGAGAGTAACTGGTGCGGTGGCCAGTGAACCTCAACCAACGCGCCTCTGGTTTTGCTCGTGAACTTTTCCGATGCGGTCGGTGGAGCAAAAAATGGCGGTGCAAACTGATATTGAGGCAATCAGTATACTTTGAAGTTCATCGTTGGAGACCATGACGCGGTCACAAAACCTGTCGCAGCCGGCTGCAGAGTGAGGACAAAATAAGGTGCAAGCAGTAAACGCCCCAGCTGGCTCTGCTCGCAACGCAAATAGTATAAGGATGCGCCGAGCAGAGATAAGTGTGCTAAAGCGGAAAATTAATGACTGAAGCGGAAGCGCACCGTGATGTTTCGATTTAGAGGTCCGCCATATCTGGTGGAGGAGCAGGAGTAGTGATCGTGGCCCAGTGGTGGGAAACAGGGAGGCAAACCGTCAAGGACCACGCCAGGACGGAGGCAAGAAGAAAGACACGGCGGAATAGGCGAAGAAGTGAGGTCGATGGGGGCCGCGTACTGCAGAAGAAACAAGCTGTTGGTGTTTGTTTTTTTTTTCTTTTTCTTTTTTTTTTTTTTTTTTTTTTTGTGTAAGTGTAAAAATTGTGATCGGGGTGGAACCCTGAGATGAATAAATATGGTTGGTGTGCAAGAAGCGATAATGGTGATGAATGGAATTGGAAAAAGATTAAAAAATAATGTGAAAGAAAAATAAAGAAAAAAAGAAAAATATTTTGAAATAAAAATGTAAAGATGGGGAAAAAAGGAGTTGATGGAGAAAATAAATACAAAATAATGGAGTTGGAAATCAACACGGATTTATTTTGTTTTTATTTTTTTTATTTTTTTTAATATAATATAATAAAAAGAGATATAAATATATATAATAAAAAAGTGGTTGGAACAACAATGATGTCTTCGGGGATCGGTTGAATGATGGTGTGCATTGGGTGACTTTCACATGGGGTGGGTCACATTTGAGAGAGAGAAAACAACACACATATGCATGTGCTTCTCTCTTTGTCTGTCATCGTCCCTTCTATGTATGATAGGCAGAGAGAGAGAGAGAGAGTCCAAGACCAAGAAGAGAGAGATTAAGAAGAGTGAGCAAATGTTGAAGTTGGCGAACTGGTTCGGTTGGCGCTGGGCATGAGCAAGCGACGGCTCGGGTCGCGGTGTTGGTGTGTCCGGAGCTGACGAAGCCAACGAACAAAGGCGCAGTGAAAGGTCAGTAGATCAGGTTGCGGCGGCTGCTGTGGACTGGTAATACCTGTTCCGCAAAGGGATCCTGTATGTACTCCTCGAGGTCTACGAAGGTTGACCTTAGAGAAGGAGATGACTGCATTATGGAGATATTGGCGACACTTCAACCTTGTGGATGCCATCCCCAACCCATCTAAAGAACAACTAATGGATGTTGTCCAGAGGCATTTTATGTCACAGCAATTGGATGAGTTTGCCAAACATAAAACCAGCAAGAGGAGGAGAGCAGTGATTCTGAATCAAAGTCAACCCAAACCAGAGCCGTACAATTGGCTGACGAATTTCCACAGGGATTTGATTGTTGCAGGAGCGTTGATGGGAGGCGTTGTGCACACGATTACGGCCCCAATCGAGAGAACGAAGGTTACATTGCAGACCCAAGAGAGCAACATCAACATAGTCGCAGAGCCTCATCGGAAGTTCAAGGGCATGGTCGATTGCATAGTTCGTATGGTCAGAGAAGAAGGTGATTGCTGAGTACATATGGATTGGTGGTGCTGGCATATGGACCTCAGAAGCAAAGCAAGGACTCTTGCTGGACCTGTGAGTGACCCCAAGAAGCTTCCAAAGTGGAATTATGACGGATCTAGCACAGGACAAGCTCACACCTGGTGGTGAGCCAAGTCCAACAAACAAGAGGTTCAACTGTGAGAGGAGGGGCAGTGGTGGTGGACTCAAATATATTTCAAGGTATGTGTAGAAAATTCTGGCGGATTAGGTTGAGGTCCGGCAGACGGCCAAGGTGAGGTTGTCACCCGCCGGTGAAGCGAAAATACTAGGTTCTAAACCTGCTCTGATACCATGTTAAAATTGATGTATTATTGATTGATATATTGATATATTACAATGATTCCTATATATAGAAGAGAGGATGTGGGAAGAGAATAGGTGAGTGTGTAGTAGGTATGGAGTAGGTGGAGAGTAGGTGAAGTAGGTGAGTGTGTAGTAGGTGGTAGTGGTAGGTGTGTAGTAGGTGAATTTTAACAGTAAGTATAGAAAAATTAATTTCATGAAATTGAATATTAGTTAGTGTTAGAATTAATTAGCTCAACCTGAGTGGTAATTAAGTTTAGAACAAGTGGTAAGTTATGCCATACACAATAGTAAGTTATTATACTACTAAATATTATCCTACTTTCCACTCATTTACAAGCTACTTACCACTCAATAAAATCTAAAATCTAACCAACTTAGAATCATACTGCGTAGTAAGTTATTTTAGAACAAGTGGTAAGTAATGCCATACATAGTATTAAGTTATTATACTACTAAATATGATCCCACTTACCACTCATAAAAACTAACCAATTAGGTGGAGATGGTGGTGATGGAGGTAGAGGTTGGGTGAATTGGATACGGGAAGTGATGGAAATGGACGTGTTGGTAGGGTGGTGGAGTAGTGGAGGAGGAGGACAAGGATATCTCATTTGTCGTAAGTATAGAAAAATTAATTTCATGAAATTGAATATTAGTTAGTGTTAGAATTAATTAGCTCAACCTGAGTGGTAATTAAGTTTAAAACAAGTGGTAAGTTATTATACTACTAAATATTATCCTACTTTCCACTCATTTACAAGCTACTTACCACTCAATAAAATCTAAAATCTAACCAACTTAGAATCATACTGCGTAGTAAGTTATTTTAGAACAAGTGGTAAGTAATGCCATACATAGTATTAAGTTATTATACTACTAAATATGATCCCACTTACCACTCATAAAAACTAACCAATTTAGAGAGTCATACTAAGTAGCAAGTCTTTTCAGAACAAGTCGTAAGTAGGTATAAAACAACTGGAAAGTTATGTTATACACGGTAGAACTTAACCTTCTTCTACATGTGGGTTGAAGCCCATTTCATTCCCCTCTTTCGTCTCTTAATTTATAAGGCTGATGTATATGTTTTTCCTTAGGTTTGTATTGTAGATTTCACTAAATTCATAACAAAACCCAAGTGCCACAACAATTATACAACAAGAATACTGAATTCAAATATCAGCAAACATGCTAAAACAAAAGCATATGAAAGCTTAAACTTTCAGTGCTTTGGATCTAGATGACGAGTTACAACTTACAAACTTGAAATCTTGAAAAAGTGATTTGCTATTGGTATTTAAAAAATACTAAGCAAAGCATCACAGGAAACTCAAATGTACCTTGATATTTTGTGACTTCTTCTCCATTATAAAAGAGCTTGAATGTAGGATATGAATGAATATCAACTTTGTTGCACAGTGGCTTACTAGTACCACAATCAACTTGCCCAATCTCTATCTCATCCTCCCCTTCCATAGTTTTCCCCAAGTCCTCCCACAATGACCCCAAGTTCTTACTGCAAACTCATTTTAACAATTGAAAATAAGCCAAAAAAGCAATATAACCCATTAGAGCAAAATTCATTGTATGCATGGGAATCACAAAGGTAGAATTATTACCAGTGCTTACACCAAGGAACACAAAATTTCACAAACCAAGCAGTATCCTTCTCCTGCACCTAAATGAAACACAGACAAACCCAAATATGGTTTCAACAAGCATTAGAAGTCAACATGAGCATATCCCACTTCAAACATAGAATAAAAGAAGTTGTGCTGAATATATCAATCAATTCACTACAACATGTCATCATTTTACTGAAATATAAATGTGTATAGCACATAGATCTCTTAGGGGTAATCCGCTCATTGGGGCCACACTGCGGACTCTGCCCAAAATTTGCCCGATCCACGTGGAGGGATCCTGGATTAGTCGAGGTACACGAAAGCTGGACCGGACACCCGGTCATTTAAAAAAAAAAAAAAAAATCTCTTAAGTATCACATTCAGTTCAGCCCCAGAAGTTCACAACATATGTGCACAAATCTTTTTTTAAACCACAAATAACTTGGAAAAAAAAATAATTTTGATCTGCATATTGACTTCCCAATACAACTTAATTGTTCAATCATCCAAAGAGCAAACATTTTAATCAAAAGGACTAAAATTTGTCCTTAATGGGATCCGCATTTCATAAAGTAACAAACTGCACAATGCAAACCCAGATTTTGATAATCCAGCACCAAAAACGAAGAATTCTAAACATTCAACATGTCAGTTTAGATAAATTAAAAACCCTAGTTGAGAAGATGAATTGGGGGTTTTGGAGGATGAGATTGACCTTGTCATTGAAAGTATCAGCGGTTAGGGTTATGACCTCAGCTTGAGAAGATAGTGAATTGAAAAGAAGAATTGATATTAGAATCAGAGAACGCTGATTGAAGAGTTTCATCGCACCAACAGTTTTGAGGTTCACTCTGTGTCTCTGATGACTCTCTGTCTTCTTCACTCTCCGAACAAATTCAAACCAGTGATCGTACTCTCTCTCTCCCTCTCCAATTGCGGACTTGATTAGTCCTATTTTATCTGGGGTCACTATTACAGACAGAAATTCGTTTCTCTTTTCTTTTTAAATTTCTATTCAAATTTATAATTCAAAACTTTGTTTAGTTCGTCTCTTGAGTAATGTTAAAATTTATTTAATTGAAAACTTTTTTAAAAAAAATCTAAAATCACTTTTCTTTCTATTATATATTAATAAATTATTTTTTTTCTCACACTCATCTATTCAATTATAAAAAAAAAAAATCAATTAAAACTCCGTTTGATTTAATTTTTGAAATGAGTTTTGAGTTTTAAGTTATATTTTAAAAATAAATTGTTAAAAATAGTTTTGAAAATTAAAAATTTATTTGGTTATAAATTTTGAAAATAATTTTGGGATAATTTGTAAATTTTTTTTTTTTTTTTTTTTTTTTGTAATTGAATAGATGAGTCTAAAAGAAAATTTAATTGATTAATATATAGAATGTGAGAGAGGAGAAAGGATAAAGAAAAATTGATCAATTAATTTAATAATAATAAAAGAGAATGAGAGAGGAGAGAGAAAAAAATAATTTTAAAAGGAGTTTTGAAAATTGATTAATCAAACATATTTTTTTTGAGTTATGATTCATTTCTCTAAAATTAGAGTTTTAATTGAGCTCTAATGAGGTTGAAAATCAAAATAATAAAAAAAAACACACAAAATAAAATCAAAATATCACATCAGAGTGAGATCTACCTTCCATTAGAGCTATTAGAGCTTCTATATTAGAGGTCTAAAGCATTTTTGATTTTTTTTTTTTTTTTGCTTTTTTGATACAAAAGTTAATTGAGAAAGTAAACCAAACAGTACTTAAATCATTTCAAACTTTAAAATTCTAAAATTATTTAAAAAAATACAATTAAATAAAGTTTTAAATTTTGTAAATTCTTTCTAAAAAATTCTTTTTTAAAATTATTTCACCAACACAAATCAAACATGGCCAACTTAAAAATGTGCTTGTCAAGTACTTTTAAAATTTTGTAAAAAAAAATTAATTAAAAAATAATTCACTTTTAAATCCAAAAATAATTTTTTTAAAATCTTACTACACTAAACTGCCCTAAGAATTAAAGAAAAAACTTTTTTTAGTTTTTAGTATTTTTTTTTTACTTTTTATATTTTTATAAATTGCAAGTACTTGACAATTTTTTAGAATTTTTTTTATATAAAAAAGTGGGGTGTTTTGGAAAGTTGATAAAAAGCTGACTTTTGGCTTTTTACCAAGCTTTTCGCTTTTTGAAAAGTGATTTACAAAGTTGGTAAAAAACTGACTTTTAACTTTTTAGTTTAATATTTGTTTATGGTGTCAAATCAAATTAAAATGATCAAAATATCCTTACCTAACATAAGAAATTTATTTTTTTGTCATAAGCCCCAATTTGTAATTTCACAATTGCTTTTTTGGTACTTTTCAAACTAATTTTGTTACATTCCCACTTGTATTTTTAAACATTTTAACAAAAACGTGACTTTTTATTTTGATTTCCAAAATGGCATTGTCAAACAGGCCTACAAA